TTTTTGAAAACCTGCGTAGCACAAAATTTGAGTTTTGAGTAGGTGACAGCCAGAAAAATCGCGCCTATTGACCGTCTCCCGTCAAATCATATCTGCTTTATGACGAAGGCGGTCGCCCAAATAAGTTGGAAGCATGCAAGACTGACGCGCACGCGACGCACGGGCAATTGCCAAACATGAGGCGCACTCATGATGGGTCAGCGGTCATCCGCGCGCCACATGGTTGAAAAATTCCAGCGCGCCGCATGCGCACCAGCTTTGCATGCTTTCAACCTATTTGGGTGACTGCCTTCGTCGTGGAGCAGATATCACAACAGTTCCACGACAGCATTCCTTTGTGCAGTTGCACACTTTTGAAATCTGCAAGGGTCTCTATAGAGGCTCACCAATATCAAAGAAGCTGAGATAGGAAGAAATTGACCCTATATCTTTACGACGTGAAAAAAGCCATAAATGTGTTTTTTGCAGCCATCTTCTTGTGAGCGCAGAAAGTAGTGCAATTACACAAACTGTTAAAGTGAGGAAGACTGTGAGTCTAAGCATAACAGTTCAGATGTAACTTCCATCGCCGATGTACTGAAGCTCCACGAAATAATTGTGTCGTGGCGACCCCGGGTCTTTCCACAATGAGCCCCATCCCTATGGGACCAGGAGGGATTGGCTTGGGGAATCCTCTGCCACCGGGGACACCTAGTAAGCTCAATTTGATCTTGTCCAAAAAGTCTTACCATGATGCTTTAGATGCTGCTTTGGAGTTACCGCATACGCTAGTTGAGAATAACTATCTAACCCCGACAAAGTGCAAAATTTGCGACAAGATGTTGAAAGGGTTGATTAGGCAAGGATTGAAATGTAGAGACTGTGGGGTAAGTAACTGTGCCTCACTTCTTTCTCTGAATATCTGGAAGACCTTTCATTAGCAGAAAGCTCTTTCTCTGAAGGATTTCAGGATCCATGAAAAATTTTCTAAATTCAGGTCAACGTTCACAACAAATGTGCCTATCAACTGCCATCGAACTGCACATTGTCCGATCATGCCATCAGTAGGATGAGCATCACCGAGACCCCATCATCTACACCATCTAATAGAAGCAGTTTGGTGAACATGGATGAAGAGCCGAGCAGCAGCGAGAATATACCATTATTCCGCTTACCTGGTACGTTGTTTACCTTGGTGTCATATTCACACGATCTGTCGTACATTACCAAAACAACCTCAAATTTATATAATTTCACAATGACTACTTGACTCGTTATGAACGGTCTTTAGGCCGACAAATTGAATGACTTTATAAAAAAATGTATATCTCCCACCAATATATCTCCCACCTTCAGAGCCCCCTCCCCCTCCTATTAACTGCATGTTTTTGAACCATTCAAACAATGGGGTTAGGGAACTCCAATGTTGCGCTTTCTCGCCCGCTTTTCCTTAGATTTCGAGGTCATGGACAGGAAAAATTTGGGAAGATCCCATTTTTTGGAATGGGCGGCTAACGCCACGCACCTTCAATCAAAAATCTAGTCGCCCCCCGCCCCCCTCTCCCCCTCCAGGACGAAAATGCCACT